AATTGCTATCAGCTGCATTTCACATGACACACACCAAGTGGATCTACAGTTACACATAGGTGCAGTTTGCAGCTCAGCAGTGGGCGGAGGAAGTCTGAGCTGATGAGATAACGAATCAGACAGGTGCCAGGAACGGCCCCTGGAGCGGCCGGAGTCAGGGCTTGGGGTGTCAGCTGTGAGGTGAAAGGCTGAACTGGATCCTGAGTGAAAACACGCAGGTCAGCTCTAGACAGGTGACCTAGCAGATGGGTAGACAGTCAATGACCGCACCCACAGTGGGAGACCGCATGGGCCAACACCCCAGGGACAGTCCTCTGCTTATTAGTCCTTGGCACACACACACCAGGGGTCTGGAACAGGCTGGTGTGGTATCGTGCCATCAGCATTAGGTGTCCATGACTATGGACCCCAGGTCTGGTGTGTCTGAGTTCTTGGGTCCGGTTTCCCTGACGTAATTTTAATATGTCCAATGAACCCAATAGTTATCAGGTAACTTCCTTTAGACTCATAGGAACACGTTATCAGTCTGTGCTGGCTGGGTGGCACCTGGCAAAGAGTATAGTTTTGTGTCCACCCAGAGCTGCAGTCATAGTACTCTCTCAAAATGGAGTAAAAAACTGCTTGGGAAATGGAGTCTCTAAGCCCAGGAAGCATTGTTCCGCACAACAAGCAGTAGCTGAGGGGAGGGGAGCAGAGCATCGTGACGGTGAGAACAACTGCACTCTGTCTAAAAACAAACAACAAATAAATCTAGGAAACACCCTCACTACCTCAACACACACACACACACACACACACACACACACACACACACACACACTCCACCAATATAAAAGACGACCCTAGGTCAGTGGTTCTCAACCTGTGTGGGTCTTGACCCTTATGACATCACGGGGGTCCGTCACCTAAGATCATCGGAAAACACAGATATTGACACTACATTAGATAACCTAGGTAGGCAGGATAGGATAGCAAATTGCTGCACCTGAGTTTATTGTTATTCAATAAATTCATAACATTAGCAAAATCACAATTATGAAGCAGCTACAGAAATAATCTTATGGTTGGGGATCACCACAGCATGAGGAACTGTGTTAATGTATTAAAGGGTCCCAGCATTAGGAAGGTTGAGAACTGCTGTCCTAAATCTAAAGATGTAGTTCAGTGGTATAATGCTTGTCTGGCACATGTGAGACCCTGGGTTCAATTCCCAGTACCACAAAGCCAATCAACCCCTAAAAGATAAGTTTTCAGTTTTGTGAAATTTGCCTTGCCTCAACTAAAGGCAAGAGGACGGGGGAGGGGGGCCGGTTGGGAGGATGACTTAGTGAGTGAAGTGCTTGCCTTGAAACCAGTGAGGACCCGAGTTTATCTCCAGAATCCTTGTTTAAAAAAGAAAAGCCAGCTGCAGCCAGGTAGTGGTGGCACACACCTTTAATCCCAGCACTGGGGAGGCAGAGGCAGGCAAATCTCTGTGAGTTCGAGGCCAGCATGGTCTATAAGAGCTAGTTCCAGGACAGCCTCCAAAGCCACAGAGAAACCCTGTCTTGAAAAACAAACAAACAAAAAACCCCAAAAACAAAAACAAAAGAAAAGCCAGCTGGGTGTTGGTGGCACACACCTTTAATCCCAGCATTCAGGAGGCAGAGGCAGGCAGATCTCTGTGAGTTCGAGGCCAGCATGGTCTACAGAGAGAGTTCCAGGACAGCCTCCAAAACAATACAGAGAAACACTGTCTCGAAAAACCAGCCCACCCCCGCAAAAAAGCCAAGCATGAGATGTGTGCCTGCAATCCTAGTGCTGGGAGATAGAGTCACGTGGATCCCTGGGGCTCTCTGTCCAGGTAGCTTAGCCTACGTGGTGAGTTCCAGGCTGGCCTAGCCTACTTGGTGATTTCCAGGTCAGTGAGAGACCCTGTCTAAAAGAAAAGTTGTAGCTGGTACCTGAGGAATGACACCTGTGACCTATGACGTCCACATGTATACACATGTAACCCAATAAACACATAAGTGCACGTGCACGCACACACAATTGTAGTGTAAGAAGAAAGCAGCAGCGGTAACAGCTGGCTTCAGAGGACACTATCGGTGATTAGATTGAGAGTCTGAATTACCTGCCATCCTATGTCCCTTGCCATCAGCGCTGTACCCTAATAGATCTCTTCCATGTAACTTCCACCAAAGGCCCTTTGGCCAATGGTATGGTATGCAGCTATGGAGGTCACTGAAAAGCCCAAGACTTAAATATCATTGCAAGAACAAGCCTAGGCTAACCTTCTGGAAAGATAAGAGACCGCATGGAACAAAGTCAGGCTCTCCCATCCCAGGCATTGCACACCAGCCATCCAGTCTACTGTAGACACATGAGTGAACTGGCCAATATTAGCCTGGTTCATGTCGGCAGAACCTCCCAGGCTAACTGGGGACTTTGTGGACTATTAGTTTAAGATGTGTTATATTTGTTTAAACCGTGGTCTATTTGCTTAATGATGCAAAGATGTGTTTGTGTTGCATTCTTTTACGTTGCATTTGTTTAACTCTGTGAAGCTGTGTTACTTTGTTTTTTAAAAACACCTGATGGGTCTAATAAAGAGCTAAAAGGCCGGTAGTTAGGCAGGAGAGGGATAGGCAGGGATGGCATGCGGAGAGAATAGATAGGAGGAGAAAAAGAGAAGAGGAAGGAGCAACAGAGGAGGATTCCAGGGAACAGCCACCCAGCCACACAGTCAGCCACAGAGTAAGAAGGAGAGTGCTGTGTGAAACAAGCTTGTTTCTAATTTAAATAAACAAAGGGAAAAAAGAAGAAAAGAGAGGTATATAGCATAGAAAAAGGTAAAAACCCAGGGGCAAAAGGTAGATGGCTAGAAACAAGCCAAGCTGAGGCCAGTCATTCATTAGTAAGAGTAAGTCTCCATGTATTTATTTGGGAGCTGAGTGGTAGGTCCTCAAAGAGTAAAAAAAAAAAAAACCAAAACAAAACAAAAATCAAACAAAACTCCAGGGGACCCAGGAGAAATGGTAACTGTGTGTTTGAATCATTTAGTGTTGCAATGGCTTGTCTATAGTAGTGGTTAGTTCAGAGATGCTGAATACAGCCTAGAGCATTCATTACTTTTAGTAAGGAAAGGTCAAAGTGGTTCCAAAGTCCAGTTCTAAGGGCACTACTGCGCTTACTAGTCACCTTTCTTTTACAATAACCCAGGGGTTGCACATAGAGCGGGAACAAGAGTACTTTCTGTGTCTGCACATGTGTCTATGCATATCAGCAGTCATCCTCTCTGCTCCTGGTAATGGAGGAAATTATCCCCACCATCCTTCCCGCAGACCTACCCCAGTTCCACAAGTAGGTCCCGTGGTGCTGGCCTTGGTTTCCAGTCTGTGTTTCTGCGGCTTTTGTCATTCTGCAAGGCTGCTGTCCCACTCTGCACGGGCGCTGCCCTGCTGGCGGAATGCACAGATGACTTGTCAATGTGCAATTGTCTTCCAAAGCTTTGCATCCTCTCGCCTCTTCGGGAGATTTCAATTCTGCAGAGTTGCCAGGATAATGGTCTCCATACCAGCCGTGGAAAGCGAGTCCCAGGGAGAGCACACAACTCACATTGCCACATGATTAAATGCACCAGGATCCAAAATGATTAGTGTGGTGCTATCCCGATGCCCCCTTTACAGAAAGAGAATCCTGAGAGTGTTATTTGTCCCTTGCCAAAAATCATCCCTCCTTAAGTGAAGGCAAGTTGACCTATGCATCAAAGTTCAGGGAAGCTAGGAGAGGATGAGGGAAACTTGGGAACTGGGGGTCAAGCTGGAGTTTTTCCAGAGGATTAAGGAGAGTCCCACCCGGGGGCAGGGACAGAAAGAAACGGATGGCAGTGGATGGGTTGCAGTGAGTACTGGGAGGGGCCTGCCCAGTGCAGGGTGCGGAGGAGCCAGCAATGAACTCAAGGCCCTGCCACCCGCCCCCCACCACACACACACACACACACACACACACACACACACACACACACACACACTGTGTTTCCTCTCCTCAGCTGGGGACAGAGAGGTGTGGGTTCCAGAGGAGGCTCTACTGTGCCCTAGGGACACTGGGATCTGTGTATGTCTGGGGCTGGGGGTCACTCTCTGTAGGATCTCTGCAGGTCAGTCCCAGAAAATACGAGAACCTGACACAGGCTCAGGACAAGGTGGCCGAAGACAGCTTGACAGAGGCTTGATTCTCCCTGCTGAAGGTCAAGGTTGCCCTGGCAACCTCTCCTTTTCCTCACTGTCCTCGCAGCTGAAGATGGTGGCTGATATGCCTTCTTTCTGCATCTGGTGGTTGAGAGGCGGGATGGCCAGGCTGTGCCAGCTGTCATGGTACATGCATGCGAGTCCCTTCTCTGAACAATGGGGCGGGGCTCTGCTCTGAAATACTGTACTTGAGGGCAGTGCAGTCTTGCTCACAGGTGACCAAGTGCAATGGCTGCCTGAGGGCAGGGGACTATCAGTGGCCATTCCCACGCTTACAGGGCATTCGGAACCTCTACGGCCAATCTGTTTTACTACATTCTCTTCTTGGAGTTTGCCCAGCGCCTCCATGATTGGGGTGAACTAAGCTGTGTCTGTCTGTTCTTGGTTTCTGACCCTGAGTGAGGAGTGGGTGAGGGGGTGCATCTCTGCCTCCTCCAAGTCTGGATCCTAGTGACACACATCATTGACCCAAGGTCACAGCTCCAGAAGCCCCTCTTTCCCAACCCCCCAGCTTGCACTAGGACCTCACTTTCTAGTTTCCCTGGGTGCTCTCAGAGCACTCCTGCTTGGGGACAAAGAGCCAGAGCTTCCCAGAGTCCAGCCAAACCCAGGACAGTAGAGACAGGTGGCAGTTGTCCTCCTGCCTCAAACAAAAGCAATCAAGTCATCATCCTGATTTCTTTTTAAATCAATTCCCATGACAAATGTGTCTGTGAAGGAGGGCCGGCTGCCCCCGGGCGTTCAGCGCTTCAATGAGGACAACAGAAGGAGCCGGATTCATAAAACTATAATGCGCTATTTGAACAGATTTCCCAGTAACCCGACCCCATAGTCTGAGGAGCGGCTCAGCCTTCACGCAGTCCAGATGGAGCCACTCTGTGACCTCCTTGGGGGATAGGAGCAGTTCTGTGTGTCTGGTTGACCAGGGGACCCTTGTAAGGAGAGGAACAGAGTAATTAGGAGCGGGCAGGGGTTGGGGAAAACTCTCTTCCCTAGCACTGTGTGACCTCGCTTGTCTGGTCAGGTTTCCTTGCTCATGTGTAGAGCTTGTAACCACTTTCCTCTGGGTGACAAGAATATACAAGGTGAACGCAAACCTTGAGACACCAGGGGAGGTGTCTGCATTGTTCAGTGTCCTGTGTCAGCACAGTGAGGCAGGCTGGAAGCCTCCACCAGTCTGCCCTAGTAAGAATCAGAGCCAAATGAAGCCAGACACACTTCTTTGACTTGACCTCCATTGATGTCACCAGGCAAACTGCTGCGGTCCATGAATTGTCCAGTCAGTGGGAAACTCCAAGAATTGTAGGCCCCAGAGCAAAGACCCAAGAGTGAGTGGAAACCTAGGACTGGGCAGGCAAACCTGAGCTGTGGCAGTCAAGACTGGCGGGTCCCTGCAGGCCCTGGTAGATAAAGCTTGGGTACAAGCTCAGGGGGCTGTCCCTGATGGCCCATTGCAGACTTCATTCTTTTTTGTTATGGTTTTGTTGTTGTTGTTGTTGTTCTTTTGAGGCAGAGTTTCTATTTGTAACCTTGGCTGTCCTGGAACTCACTATGCAGACCAGGCTTACCTTGAACTCACAGAGATCCGCCTGCCTCTGCCTCCTGAGTGCTGGGATAAAAGGTGTGCACCACCACCGCCTGGCACAGACTTTATTCTTTTAGTGCACAGCAGCAAACATGTCCTGGGGCTCTTCTGCCCACACTGTGAGAAGAAAAGGAAACATTTGAAATGCCGAGAACATTCCCTCCTTGCTGAGGCTCACCTTTAGAAGCTAGTTGACCACAGCTGAGCCTGCTGGGGTTCCTCAGAACCTACCGGGGCAGGGGTGAGGGGTGGAAATAGCTAACATCCAACCCTTCTGGTCTTCCACCCAATGAACTGAAGCATTGAAACCCAAGTTCACAGCTTGGGCTTGGGTGTTTACAAAGAGGCTGAGTCCCAGTCTTGGGACTTCAGGACACTTCCTTCCCCACTTCTGCAGCCATGTCACTGAAGGCTTGTGCACAGGGACAAGTGTCCACACAACACGTTCTGAATCTCCTTATGACCCGGATAGAGGAGTGTATAGAAGAGGAAAGTGGGGCTCGGGGGACAAGAGACCTGAAGGAAATAGCAAGCCAGGACCCAGAACCCAGACTGGGTTTCCTTGCCCCTACAGTAAGTAGCAGCAGGGATGCCCCGCCCTCCTTCATCAGCACCAGCTTGCCCCAGAGAGTCCTGATTCTGAAACCAGGAGTGATCCTCAAGGTGACCTCAAATGCTTCTTCCAGCTTGGCTCAGGGAGGCCAGCAGGGGTGACTCTAGCAGATTTGGGTCCTGCTGCTGGCTTTTCTGTGTCACAACCATACTCTCCCAGGGGTCAGGGAAGTTGCTCTTCCTTACTAAGACCCTGATGAGTGTGAAGATGCCCGGTGAGGACCCCAGGCTCTTGTGTAAGCCTTCCGGAGCTCAGGGCCAACCTGTCTCCATGATGAGGGCTGATGCCTTTGATGACTGCTTCAAGACCGATCTGTGCTACTTGGCAGAGGCAAACAGACAAACCTTTACATCTTCTACCTTAACTAGGGCATGTGTCAGGGAAAAGCAAAGGACTTCAAAGCTTAGGCTCTGGTGTTGGGCCATCTGGGTTCCAGTGTCGCTCCCGGCTGTATGACCTTAAGAAAGCTCTTTAGTCTTGGGTTTTTCTTATTAAAAGCATATGATAATTAAAACCAGTTTATGGATGCTCCAGGGAATGAAGAAGATGCGACATTATAAAAGGTCTTGGCTCCTAGTAGAAGGTGATGATAAACTGTTAGTAGCATTATTATATTCCCCTCTAGGGCATCTTTAAAGTGACAGAAGAGTCCACCACACGGCAAGCTCACAGCTTTTCCCTGGGTGGCCATGGGTCAGTTCTTATCTGGCTGGGAAAAGGAGGAGGCTACCCCGCCCCATCTTGGGTGGGAGGTCATCAGCAAAGCTTAAAGAGAGCCAGGGAAGGGCGAGCTGTCAGGAGGCCCCACCCTGCTACAAGCAGGATATTAGTACTCGGTGCTTGAAATTTTCCAACGTTCAGGGTGAGCCATCTGTAGTGAGAGCTTCATTTCCCTCACCCGTCCAGCTTGGCTATCTCTCAGGGGAAAGCACATGAGTGGCAAGCTATAATTAAAGCCTCAGTGTTGTTCTCATCAGAGTCTGCGGTCAAGCACACAGGCTAGGATCAGCCTCTGCCTGCTGCCTACAGGCCCCTTCTCCCTGCAGTTATGTCTGTTAGAATGGGTGTCCCCTCTTCTCATGACCTTTACTGGCCTGTCTCAAGTCCATCTGGAAGGTTTTGAGAAGCCCTGGGACCCTTTCATCCTGAGGGTCTGGGAGAGACAACGAACCTGTGTGATGCTTACCCAGGAAGGGATCCCAGGGACGGCACCTGTGGTAGGGATGGGATTGCTCCTCCAGGTTGCATTCCCTAGTTCCGTCTGCCTGCAGCACTGGGCAAGCCTGGGTGTGGGGGGGTATGGGAGAGGCTCCCCTCTCCTAGGAGCTGCAGGCAGTTCGTCCCAACCCTCTTGGCCTGGCTTTACTGACCTCCTATGTACCTAGTCTGCATTGTTTTTCAAAGGGAAGAGGTTGGCTCCCCCTCTCTGGGGTCTTATTTTTTTTTTCATTTGATCAGCAAATATTCACTGGAGATTTGCATTATGTCCTAGAAACAGAGAAAAACATGCAGAGAGGAGAGCCAGGTACCAATGGACTGAGGGGACAGCTCCAAGCTCCAAGTGCACTGGGTGAAGGGACCAAGACAGAAGCTACTGTGACCCACGTCTAGCACCAAGGATCCAAATTTCTTTCTCCCAGTTTCTAGCCTGAGTCACTGTCCTAGGCCAGTGAGCCACAATCCCACGTATGTGATCTTTTCCAGGCCATATAGACAGCCTTGATCTCTCCACACATTCCTTGGCAAGGAAGCAGTATTCTTCTTTTACACCTGGGACACGGAGAGGTGGGAAAGGGCACTGGGTCCTAATGATTTTCCTGCACACTCATTTCTTTGTTGTCTAAGAGGAAACTCATAGGCCCCTTTGCCATCTGCGGCATCCTCAGGAAGCCATCATTCCCCAAGGGAGGAAATGGACTTTCCTTTGTCTCTTTCCCAAACCAGATTTCTGATGGAAGCCTTGGGTCTGTCAAACTGGTCCCCAGTTACTCTTTAGAGAGTAAACTCTGGGGTGTGCATGGCAGCACACACCTGCAGCCCTCCAGGAGGTTGAGGCAGGAAGATTGCCGTGAGTCTGGGGCTAGCCTGGGCTACAGAACACCAAACCAACTAACAACAGAAAGAGAGTAGTGTCTTCAAGCTGTAACCCCCCTGTTGGGGGACACTGAAGGCTGGGAAGGGAGCTAGGATACTGAAGGGTGGGGGCGGGGATGTAGTGTCAGGGCATCCTCTGCCCAGCTTTCTCCCTGAGGAAGTGACAGCAGCTGGCTCACTCTGCCTGTCAGGAAGCATCTCTTACTGCGGACCCCACTCTCCCTGGACCCCTGTAAGCTTGCCAGGGCAGTTTTAGCAAGACATCCACAGCAGGCCTTGGGATAGAGATGTTTTCAGGGTGCCAGGGATAAGCCTTGGTTTTATCTTCCCTAAAGTGGAGACAAGATTCACACAGGTCCTGTCCATTTCACTCACCATGCTGCTAAAGCCCAAAGGCAAGGAGCCAGCAGGGCCACAGTCACTCTGTAAGCCGCAAGGTGGTCTCACCTCCGCTAGCTCCTGGGGGTTCACTGATTACCGCTACTGTTTCACAGTGAGCCGTGAAGAGAGTGCTCTCTCACTTCTGTTATCTTCTGGGGGTTTGCTGGCCATCCCTGGCATGGTGTGGTGTGTCCCTACGTGCCTCACTTGCAGGGGTCAGGTTTTAGTTTCTGTTGCCATTGTCACCTGCCATTCTGCCCTGTGGGGCCGTCTCAACATCTATTCTACCCACACTGGTCACATGGATACAGATCCACCTGTACCAGGCTGACCTCATAGGAGGCACACTAGCAACAACCTATGTACCACAAGGTCACATTGTGAGACACTGCGGTGACGATTTGAAAAGGTCACCTTTGGGGACATATTCCAAACAGCTGTTGGGATCCCCTCTCCTCCCACCAAAGGCCACAGTGATGGCTGGTGTCATCACTGCTATCATATTGCAAGACACCACAGGGAAGGGCTGTGTTGGTGTCATTGTCCCTTGATTTGACAGAGTCAAAACAAGACACAGTACATGCTCGGGAAACATGCTTGATGCTGTTGATGGCAGTGTTTTGCGAATCTTGGATCAGCCTTGAGATCCAGACACAGAGTCACTTCTTAGAACACAATCCACCCAAGGCCAGTTTCTCAGGGTCCCTGTGGTTTGGCCTTAAACTGAACCCTGACATCACAGAATCCTTCATCACCAGTCCTGTGAGAGACCAGTCCCCCCACCCCCAGTGAGGCTCTTACTTTTAGTGTGACAGCTCTTCTATCTGGGCAGCAGGGAAACAGAGCTATTTTAAGATGCACGTGTCAGCTGGGGTGAGTTTCCGCTTGGCTATCGCTGGCACTGTCAGGAGAAGAGCGGTTTCGGCTGTCCGGAGGGAGCCTATCAATCACTCACGACAGTCCTTAATCGGACAAAGGAGGCCTCACCACTGTGTTACAGAGAGGGAGAGACCGTACTATTGCTCACGCTCAACAAAGAATTTTGGACAGGAATTTTATGTTGTAAACACAATCTCTTGTATCTTCCAAGCATTTAGACCGCCCTAAGGTCTCAGGTTCTCTCAGGTCTGAGGACCTCCTACTTTTCTTCTAGGAAACTGGTCTCTTTACTCAAAGACAGACAGACGCAGCCACACAGCCACACAGACACAGACACACACACACACACACACACACACAGACACACACACACGTTCATCCAACATTCACTGGGCTCCTCTGATATTCCAGGTGCTTTGGGCGGTATATCAAGAAGCCTGTGGTCTTGGACCAGCAAGATGACTAAGTAGATAAAGGCACTTGCCACCAAGTCTGGCAACTTGAGTTCAATTCTTGCGTTCCACACAGGGATTGAAAGTGTTGACTTCTTCAAGTTGTCCTCTGACCATCACACTCATGCTATCACACACACACACACACACACACACACACACACACACACACACACACACACACCTCACCTCACCTCCGTCCTAAGCCAAGGGCCTGACCACATAGTCAACCTGAGTTTAATATTAAGATAAAGGGAGATATAGTACATGCAAGCCGGGAGAAAGAAAAGCTCCCACAGTGGGCAGTGGTGACAGTCAGAGAGATGCAAGCCTGTGAGCTTGGTGCACTAAGTGGGAGGAGTCTCAGAAATCACCCAGAAGCGCCGGGCGTTGGTGGCGCATGCTTTTAATCCCAGCACTCGGGAGGCAGAGGCAGGCGGATCACTGTGAGTTCGAGACCAGCCTGGTCTACCGAGCGAGTTCCAGGACAGGCTCCAAAGCCACAGGGAAACCTTGTCTAGAAAAAAAAAAAAAAAAAAAAAAAAAGAAATCACCCAGAAGCACTGTGGCCTCACAGGTACATGGCCAGCGCCAAACCACTGCTGGGTCCAGAATCTAGAGTCAGGATTGCTTAAGTTCCACCTGCTTATGGTAAAGATTGTTCTAGAAACGGTGGCAGGTTTGAAAGAAACAGCTCTCCTGCTCCCTCTCTTGTGCCCTGCCCCCTCTCGTGTGTGTGTGTGTGTGTGTGTGTCTGTGTGTGTGAGTGTATGTGTGTGTGTATATGTGTGTCTGTGTGTGTGTGTGTCTGTGTGTGTGCGCGCTCACGTGCGTGCTTGTGTGTGTTCCAAAAAAAGTGATCTCACTAGGATCAACAAGTCTCGCTTGGTCTGGAGTATTAGGCAAGATGCTTACTGAGAATAGAACAAAAAAGCTGATGTCACATGGGTTTCATCAGGAATGTGGGTTATCATCTCACTGGGAGGCATCTCGGGAGGGCTGGGCTTGGTTAGTCCCGTGTCTTCAGGACGGTCAGGGAGAAGGCCACCTCTACAATGCTCAGCCTCTGCATTTAGTTATCTAATACTGAGTCATTTAGTCCTAGAGCCCATATGTTGACAACACTTAGAGATGAAAGACAGGCAGGGACAGCTATGTCTACGACAGTGGCTGCTGCTCCTCCTCTTCTTTCTTCCCTTCCTCCCTTCCTCTTCCTCCTCTTTTCATACAGGGCCTCACACTGTAACTCAGGCTGACTTTGGACACACACTGACCCCTTTCCCCAATACTGGAATCATAGACTTAGACTCCCACGCCCAGTACCAGGGCTTCATTTCAACAAAGAGGAAAACTTCCTTGGAAACTCCTCCACATAGTTGTCCTGTGTCTCTTTGAATGGCATGTCACCTTCCAAACTATTACTGGGGAGGAGCATAAGACTGATGTGATTAGCTTAGATGAATCAAGATTAACCCTGAGGATGGGTAGACAAGGAGGCAGCAATAGCCCTGGGTTTGAAGCACGATCTCATCAGATTTTTACATGAGTCATTGAGGCTGCTAAGAGCATCACTGAGTCTAATTACTTCATCTGTAAAGTGGGTGCAGGGGATAGTACCTTCCCCATACACATGGTATGCAATCACTTAAATTATCTAACACAGATCCCCATACATTTAATTAGCATTTTATTTCCCCTTTTCTTGCCCTGACCATTAACCGTGCCTGGCCATCACTTCTGCTTATAAGCTTTCTTTCTCGCATCTGATGTTTAAGAAACATCGAAACACACACACACACACACACACACACACACACACACACACACACACACACACCCTACCTAACTGCAGGAATTTACATTTATCCCTTTTACATGTTTTCAACCCATTATTCCAACCTGTCAAGATGCCTTTGAATCTTGATTCTGCCATTCTTTCTATTAACAATCCCTCTGGCTTTGTGTCAACTGCAAATTTGATAAGCGCGTCTTTCATTCTGCTTCATCCGGGATGCGGAGAGAAATACAGAGATGGACAAGGTCAAGGGCTGAGCCTTGGAACATTGTTACAAATGCCTCTTGAGCTCACACCACTCCACCCCTGCTTCCTCAGCGCCCCAGCCCAGAGGCAGGCAGCCCTCACCTTCTTACTCAGTCTGTATGGCTTAAGGAAGGTCTCCCTAGAATCTCTCAGAGCCCTTTGTCAATGTCACCCTGGTCCCTCCTCCCCTAGCGGCCTTTCTAGCGTGGAAATTCTGTTAGGCACAGTCTGGGTGAATGCATGCTGGTCACCAGGGACCCCTGCAGCCCCTTCTTAAATCCTTACACTAAGAAATGTGCCATAATTGTAATTAAACTTGCCAGTCTGTTGCTGGAAGTTAATGTTATATATTGTATGTTGCATTATCAGTAACTCCGTGTACCCATAATCCCTCAGTGAGGCTGCCAGAGCGTGGGAGTCACCTTAGGACCTTGTGTCTAGACAAAGGAACCCCTGGAGAGGCCAGAGCATCTCTTCAGGTCCCTTCTCCCTTGCTCCTCTGTGCCCCCCCCCTTGAGATAGTGGTGATTGAAGGCTGAGCCTGCAAGGAGACGTTGGCTGCAGCTGTGGCAGCTGGAGTTAGGACCCACTTCCTCTTGTCCTGGCCACACTGCATGGGAGGCTTCTGTGGTAAAATCCATCAAAGCACTGTTGTCACTGTTGGGACCAGAAAGGTTGTCTTGTTGTGTTGAAGACAACTCTCAAAAGCGAGGGTCCATCAGCACTCCGACAACCACTCCAGATGGGGGAGTCATGGGGGCATTTCCCCCACAATATCTCTTTTGGGTTTTGCTTGTTTGGGAGGTACAGGGATTGAACCTTGGGTCCCACCACTGTTAGGCAAGAGCAAACTGCAGTTGTGGGATATTTGTACAATGTGTGGAGAAGTGTCACTATGATTAGTTTAATGAAGAGCTGAATGGCCAATAGCTAGGCAGGAAGAGGTTAGGTGGGACTTCTGGGGTAAGAGACAGGACTCTGGGAAAAAGAAAGGCGGGGTCACCAGCCAGACATGGAAAGGAAACAGGAGGTGCAAGAAGGAAGTGAGGTAAAGTCATGTAGTAGAACATATACTAATATGAATGTGTTAATTGAAGTTATAAGAGTGAGTTGAGATAAGCCTAAGACGAAGACTGAGCTGTCATAATTAAAGAAGTCCCTGTGTCATTATTTGGGAGCTGGCTGGAGGGACAGAAAAAGGCTCATTACATACCTACTAAGCTACATCCCTAGTGCTTCACCCCCCTTAAAATGTGTTTGTTTATTTTATGCATATGCATGTTTGACTCCCATGTGTATCTGTGTACCACATGAGTGCCTATTGGCCACAGAGACCAGACGAGGGCATCAGATCCCCTGGGACTAGAGTTACAGACAGCTGTGAACCACCATGTAGGTGCTGGGATCAAATCTGGGTCCTCTGGAAAAGCAGTCAGTGTTTTTAATTACTGAGCCATACCTCCAGCTCCCTCCACCTGTTTAATATATCTGTCTGTCTGTCTGTCTGTCTATCTATCTAGCTATCATCTATCAATCATCTATCTTTCTTTCTATATAACATTATCTATCTCTCTTTCTTTCTATATAATCAATCTATCTATCATCTATCTCTCACTTTCTATGTAACATCTATCTCTTTCTATATAACATATCTATCATCTCTCTCTTTCTTTCTGTATAACATATCTATCTATCTGTCTATCTATCTATCTATCTGTCTATCTATCTATCATCAGTTTTAGATAGCACTGGTCTTGCACTTGCCCCTATGCCCCAGATTGCCTTTTCCATTGCACTGCCTACTCTTGTCAAATAGTTAGGTTTCAGGCCTGCAACACCAGCCTGGGACCCCTAAGGATATATTTTTCAAAATATTTTTTCTTTTTAAATTTTATTTATTTAATTAACTTATTTTACATCCCAACCAGTTTCCCCTCCGTCCTCTCCCCTCATTCCCTCCCCCCACCTCCCCTCTGTCCCTGTCCCTCAATCCATTCCTCCTTTGTTTCTGTTCAGAAAGGGGCAGGTCTCCTCCCATGAGTATCAACAAAGCATGGAACATCAAGTTGAGGTAAGATTAAGCTCCTTCCTTTGTCTTTAGGCTGGGCAAGGCAATCCAGTGTGAGGAATAGGTTCCCAAGAGCCAGCCAAAGCAACTTTTTCAGAATCTTTATTTATATTTATTATGTTTAAGTGTGTGTGGGGTACATGCCACAGCACATATGTGGTTAGAGGACAGCTTGGGGAGTCACTTTTCTCCTTCCACTTTTACGTGGATTCCAGGGGATAGAGACCAGGCTTGGGTAGCACATATCTTTACTGGGTGAGCCATCTCACCAGCCCTCCCTATGAGATCAGGAAGCAGAGAGCAGAGGGAGCTGGCTCCTGTGGACAGACAGAGGGAAGGAAAGAAGGCTGGCAGAAGGCAGACAGGGTAGGGGGCTGTCTGTGGCTGCAACACATGGGGTGACTGTCACCCCTCCCTCTGGCTCAAGAAGGCGGAGAACCTACCCTCTCAGAGTACTCTCAGATCAGTGACCAGAGGGACGACGTGGGCAGAAAGAACCAAGACATCTAGAAGGTCTCCACACAGGACAAAGGAGTGATGCTTACTTGGCAGATGAAGGAGGAAGATGCCCAGGAGAAGCTGAGGTCCAGAGAAGAGGCAGGATGAGGGGGTCAAAGAAGGTAGAGGACTCTGGGTAGAGGACTCCAGCAGAGGTCTATCAGAGCTCCTGGGTAAAGTCCTCACAGGGAGTGTGGCCAGTGACAGTGTGGCCAGGCGTCAACAGCTGGTCCACGTCTTGCATCAGCATTCTCAGCTGGATGACACCAGTGCAGTCTCCATGACTCCCCACACATCTATGCCTTCCAAGACTGCTCCCTCGCCTCTGCCTGTGGGAGGGGCACTGATGAGGAGGGTGGACCTGGCCATCTGCAAAAGTCTACACAGCTGCACCTTGGCGGTCTCCCACGCCAGGTGTCTCCTTCTCCGTACTTCCCCTGGGGGCAGCCTCCCATCTTCATGAAACCTGCGGTGGTGATGTGGGGACTTGGTACCCCGTTTTCTAGATGCAACTACCCATTCTACAGAGCTGCCCCTACCAAGCCCTGGCTCTGGCAGCTTTATTATAAGTTTATTACATGCTAATTCAAGCAAATAAATTTGCCCCAGCTGTGAAACAGAGGAGATTAATAACCTCAAAGATTATTTCGCTGCTTTGATGAGTTTCTTGAGCAGAGTATATTTAGGGAGAACAACTAGATTAGTCAAAACCCCCTTTAATTATTAGTGACACTGTGCAAATGACTCTGTATGACCGGAATACCAACTACTCAACTCCTTGACCTTCATATTCAAATAAACACATCTTATCAACACACCAAGCTTTGTGTCCACACACCATGACAACTGCTGTCCTCGGGACCTGACTGACAGTGGGACAGCCGGTGTGAGCACACCATTATGGGAGGGGTAGCAGGCTTAAAGTTGGGGAACTCTGTCTTTGCCTCAGGTCTGGATTATCTTAGAACTAGAAACATGGAAGGAGGGAAGTGGCTTGTTCAAAGTCGAGCATGGAATGAGCCTCCTTGTCCGGCTACCTATGTTTTGGAGTGGAATGTTCCATTATCGAGATTTACAGTTACAGAAATAGAATCAGATCTACTTCTATTGGAAACCACGAAGGCAACTCTATCCATTTCCTGGGACATTTTGCTTTCTCTGGAGTCTTGGGTGTGGCTCTGTCTTAGGGATTTCCATTTGAAAACTTGGATTTGCTTGGTTTGGAGAATGATGTGGGGGAGGGGAAAGGGAGCTCTGTCGTTGGTCTGCTGTGGAGATCCTGACACATAGTGACTGCAGGAGTCTGCAAGAGGAAGCAGGTGACTACAGCTTGAACAGGGAGTGGAGAGTAAGAGTGGGTAGGCAGAGGGATGAGGATGTAGCTAAGCTGGTGGAGTGCTTGTTTAGCATGCACAAAGCCCTGGGTTCGATCCCCAGCATCTCATAAAATGAGCATAGCCATACGAGCCTGCAGTCCCAGAACTCCGGAGGTAGAGGCAGAAGGATCGGAAGTTCAAGGTCAGTTTTGACTACGTGGTAAATCCCAGGTGAGCTAGGGATACATGAGACCCTGTCTCAAGAAACAGGGGCTTGGGTACAGGTAGGGCTAGGCTGGCTCCTCTCCTAATGACCTTCTCTCAGAACTGTGGAACGAGTCCAAGGATGGCTTGCCCTCAATGACCTAAAAACACAAAGAACTACCTGCACCCTAACCCCACCTCCCAGTGGGGCTTCTCTAGGGACCACACTATGGGCTCTTGAGGGACACTCAGAACACCATTGCATCTCCTTATGCTGATCCCAGCACAAGAACCTCCCACAGGGGCCACTGCTGAATCTACCAGCCTGCCTGCAAAGGACACACAGTCCGCCCCCCATGTTTTCTACACAGAGAAACCAGTGCTCTGAGAGTTCAATGGACGTGTCCTAAAATGACCTTCTTGCACTTGTCTACCTGGAAAGTAGCTCTGGTCTCTCCGGACTCAAGTGTCACTTCCTGTGGGGAGCCTCCCTGCAGGCTCCTCCCTCCACACTGACCTCAGATGGCATCACCACGCTGAGGAGCCATCTCCTTAAAGCAAAGGTGGCATTTCTTCATTCTTAGGTGCTGCCATGCTGGCCAAGAGCCTGGCCTGTGCTACGTGCTCAAGCAGCACTAACAAGGACTTGGAACTGTCAGGGATCCTGGCCACACGGCACTTTGTGTGAGGCCCTCTGTCCCAAACCTGACATTACTAATTGGCAATTTCCCCCGATTCTATAAAAGAAAAGCTTGTACAACAAGAAGTGCTCTAGAAAAACTAACTACAGAGAAGCATCCTTGAGCATGGCTTTCAGCTCAGGGAAGATGCCCTCCTCCATGTTGGAGCAAAGGCTGATTTTCATAGAAGAGACCTGACTATGGAAAACTCAGTTTCCACATATGAGCTAAGCGTAGGTTTCTGTCCAAATTCTGTCTGTGTATATGCCTGGTTAGACACTCAATTCCATCTCCAGCATTAAAAAGCATCATCAAAGTAGATGGTGGAAACGCTTAGAGGAGCCAGCCTAGCATTACCTGGAGGACATGCGAGTGACAGGCCCTCTAGCTGTCTTTTTTCTTTTGTGTGTGTGTTATGTGTGCATGTGTGATGCATGTTCACATGTATGTGGACCTAGACGCATGTGCGGTTGTACGGGTGTGCAGGCCAGGGGGTGAAGTCAAATATCTTCCTCATTGTTCTCCGCCTTCTCCATTAAGGTGACGTCTTTCATCTGAACCCAGAGCTGTCCAGTTCAGACAGTCTAGCTAGCCACTTTGCTCCGTGGGTCCCTGTTTTATCTACCCAAGTGCTGTGACTAGAGAGGCCACCATGCCTGCCTGGCGTTACCCCGACCTATCCTCTCAGCTCTGTCCTCTATACCCTGTAGTGGCAGAACTTCAGCTTTAGTCGGCCATCTGCTTTTGAGTAAATGACTACTTCCCACCCTTCCTCACAGCAAGTTGGTCAGTGGGATACTAGTAGAAGTTGTATGTGCAATTTCCGGAGTACTGGCTTTCTCTTTCCCTTGGATCCTTCCAAACTGGTGCTGGGATGCAATGGCAGCTATCTGGATGACAAGAAGGAGCCACGTGTTGGGGGTACCAGAGCAACAAGAAGAAAAGAGGCCATGCTCCTGGGGCAATGGGCCCATCACCCCAATGCTGAAGCACCTCTGCTGGAACTGGCGAGATTTCTATACTGCTGCTATTTTCGGATCTTCATTACAGCACGGAGTCTGTATTCTAATGTTAGGACCCTTTGGTACACATCCCTGAGAGCTGGCTAGGATGGCATGATTCTGTGATCCTCCCCCAGCATGTTTAGGAACTGTTCAGAAGCCAAGAGATTGACTTTAGAACCCTCCCCTCCCCTCCCCTTCCCTCCCCTTCCCTCCCCTCCTCTCCCCTCCCCTCCCCTTCCCTTCCCTCCCTTCCCTTTCCCTTCCCCTTCCCTCCCCTCCCCTCCCCTCCCCTCATTTCCTTCTTTCCTTGTTCTCTCTCTTAAACAGAGTCTCTGGCCCAGGCTGGCCTCAAACTCCCAATATATCAAAGGATGGCTTTGAACTTATGATCCTTCAGCCTCCACCTCTTGAGTACTGAATTACAGGTATGCACCAGCACTCCTAGTTTTATGTGGCTCTGGGGATTAAACCTGGGATTTGTGCACGCTACTCAAGCACTCCAGAAACTGAACTATACTCCCAGTATTTCTTTTAAGATAGCTTGTTTTGCTAGTGTACCTTTTGAACTGTGCAAATATGTTTTTAAAAAAGCAAACCATAAAACATTTTCAAAGCTGGAAGTTGTGAGAGATGAAAACAACAGCCCCTCCTATGCATGATTAGCACGGCAGCATTATAAACACAGAGGAGAACTATTCCAAGTGACTTCTAGACAAATTAATTTAATTAGCATCCCACATGGGATATACCCAAACAAAAATAACTGTGAAGTTTTCTTAAGTGATTTATCACAATGCATATTAGTGATGATAACGTTAGCATTGCCAACGGGATATTGTTGGATGTATAGGGTGAGATGGAATAACTACACTGTACTTATTGCAAACGGGGATTATCAATGGGCTGTACAAAAGGGAGACCAGTGAGGCCAAGGGCCACACCATGCCATCCTGAATCTGGGTGGGGAAAGTCAACGTGAAGTCTGGAGCCATGGCACTCCCTTCTAGGTCTGCATTCTGCCAAGCCTGAGAGCAGTGACCAACCCAGTGGTGGAACCTTCTAGAGACCGGATAGTGGCCTCCATATTTTATTGCCCCCAAATGAGACTTGGGATTTCTTGAGAACTGATGCATTCTAATTAAGAGGTACAAAATGTACAGTGTGCCTAGAACAGCTCATTACATGAGAAGCCACCAAAGAAAGCTATGTAGTAGCATTCTGAAGATGCCAAATCGGATGGTTTGAGCACCAAGGTAGACAGCTGCAACATGTATCCGTGTTTCTGTCCATGTTTTTGGTTTTTTTTCTGTTTTTAAACCAGGAGAAAGAAAAAAACACCCATTGTTCATTCTTGGAAAATGTTAAAAACTACAAACTGTAGCTGGAGAGATGGCTCAGTCGTTAAAAGGTCGCTGCTCCTACAGAGGATCTGGGGTCAGTTCCCAGCACACACATTGGTTGGTCACAACTGCCTGGAGTCCAATTCTAGGGGATATACTGCCCCCTTCTGGTTTCTGCAGACATGACATGCATGCTATGCACATAGAGGCAAGCAGAAATGCACACATACACAGTCATAGAAAAGTAAATAAAAAAATCTAAACTTACATATAAGGAGAGGGAAGATGTCAACATCTGCCTTCCCTGTATGGACCACAGGTGAACTGTGTGTCATGCTCTCAGAAAGAGGAGAAGAGAAGAGCATTCTACAGCCCTTGATGAAGCTAGGGGCAACTAGTTACCATGTGCTAGCTGATGGAAGAACATAACAGAGCCTGTGGTTTATGTGGGGTGTGTGTGTGTGTGTGTGTGTGTGTGTGCAATGGGGCTATAGCTAACAACATCCTTGTTGTGCAAAGCCTGCAGAACTAAGAATCTGACATTTCCAGTGAGTTGGGCAGACACTTATGTGAGGTAGGGTGGTGGTGAGGTTTGTCGTGGTGGTACTGCTGACATCAGCCAACTAAGTGGACAAGAATAGTGTCCCTCTGAAGGGCAGGGGAAGGTGTCCTTGATGAGGCGTCAGAGCCCAA